GCCGTGGTCTGACCTACGGTCCGTGGATGGTGACCGTAAGTTGCACCTGCAACTTCTCAAAATCTGCATTTTTGTCTATTTTGAATATGGGGTGTTACATTGAATATTTGTTCACTTTTTTCAGCCTTTTAAATTTTATTTTTTATCCCTTCACCAACAATTATACCCCAGGTTGATGTTCATTTGATTCCCCAAAAAAATCACATAGTAACACTTTCTGGAAGCAAAAGGATAAATTATAAAATCAAATTAAAGATGATTGATTGAAGGATAAATGATAAGATGTTATAATTATCATTTTCCTTTACATTATTAATGTTCGCTACTACGTAATCTTGTATGTAAGATAATATAGTGTTTTAGCTTTAATGACTGATAGGTTGTAAGATAATACAATGTCTTAGTTTTAATGACCAATAGGTTAAGTATTATTTTATAAACTCTGTAATATCAAATTCCCGCGCGAGGCGCGGATAATTTTACTAGTTTAACATATTTGTGATTGTTTGCTTCGGGTGTCGAAGAGTTAACTTTAAGATGATTTTTGAATTACCTTTTAGAAAATATTATTTATTTTAATTTATGTGAAAGTGTTTGATTGTGTACAAAATTCAAAAAAAAGAAAAAGAAAATTTAAAAAAAATTGTGATATAAAAAAGTACTCTCTTTAATTCATATTAAGTGAATTATTTTGATTTTTTCAAAAATCAAACTAATTGAATTATTCAAAATTCAAGAGAATTGTTACAAAAGATTTAAATATATTTATCCTTCATTAATTGATGAGGTTCTTAACTACTTTTCAGCTTCAAGAATAATAATATCAAAATAATTAAAAGGATAATAGTGAAAAGTAGTACTACCTCCATCCACTTTTAATTGTCATAGTTTTCTTTTTAGAGTCAAACTATAAAAACTTTGACTAACATTTTGTGATGTATTTTTTCATCATATTGTTATGCAAAAAATTGTAATTTATAGTACTTTTCATATAGTTTTTGAATATCTAATTTTTTTTGTTTAAAATATCGAATTAATGTAATCTAATTTAACTTTAAAAATTAGTCAAATTGACTTTCGAAAAGTGTAATTTGACAAATAAAAATAGACGGAGGGAGTATTTGATTTATGTCATTAAATAGATTTGTTAAAGAGGTATCTCATCTCTCAATAATTCACTAAATATAAGCTAGAAAGAGTAATATTAAGTATGTGTGTAGTTAAAAATTATCTCACTGAAATTAGAATGAACATTTTAAATTTAGATTATTCCTAAATATAAGAAATTATTATAGACTAAATATAAAATTGTCACTAAAACTAGAATGAACATTTTAACATTAGATTATTTCTAAATATAAGAAATTATTATAGACTAAATATTAAAGTGTCACTAAAACTAGAATGAACATTTTAACATTAGATTATTCCTAAATATAAGCAATTATTATAGACTAAATATAAAAGTTTCACACGAATTAGAACAGAGTATTTATAAAAAGTTTATTTTGGAGCACCATCCTAATAGAGAAAAAGAGTCAACAAATGGTCCCCTCTAACGTGATCGGTGTACTGCTCTTTTGTTGGCTTTGTGTAGAAACCGTGGCTCCTCGGGAAGTTTCCTACTCTGTAGGAACATGTGTTCCTTATAACTCCACAAACCCTCCAAACCAAATTATTCCAAAACTAAAAATAGATTTCAACGTGTTCACTTTTATTTTTAAATGATAAAAACTTTGCATTCGATTATGTTAAATGTCCCGTAACAAAAAATAAATGGATACCGTATTAAAAACAAATAATAATATAATAAAATTTATATAGTAATCTTTTTTTTCCAATTTATGTAATTCATTTTTTGGTAGTCCGTCCAAAAAGAATGCCATATTTTTGGCGGTTCAAGTTAATTAGTAGCCTAAAGCCAAAAATAAATTAGAGGTCTAAGTTTTAATTATTTTTTGTTTATAAGTTGCAAAGTTGTTTCTTTCGTTTTAATTAAAAAAAACTTTATTTTTGTATGGCCTTAAACTAAAAGATATATATATATATATCTTTTAGTTTAAACCTAGTTTCTAAAATAATGGTACTAGACAGAAATCTAGTAAAACCTTTATGGTATATAGAATATGAAACTTTAGTGACGATACTAAAGGTAATAAAAAATTTAGATGAAGATCTAAAAAGAAAAATAGTGTCTATAATCGCTCTTAGAATAAGGAAAGAGGAAGAAAGACAAGAATTAATATACAATTCTTATAGTTTTCATAGTGAAACTAATATGATGGATACTTCTGATTATTACTATTCAGAATAATGAGTTTAAAAGAAGTTTCTGAACTTCTAAAAGACTTATATATATATATATATATATATACCGAAATATTTTTTAATCTTATGGTCTTAAATATATCATGTGGAAGTAAAATTGAAAATTGACAAAAAAGAAAAAGTAATATTTAATATTTTGAAACAAACTAAAAAAGGACAAATAAATTAAAAAATATAGTATAACTTTTTGTTAAAAAGGCTTATAATAATTTTATTATTACTAAAAAAAATTGGGCCCTTCAAATTTTGGGGCCTAAGGCAAATGTCTCAGTTTTAAAGGGATTGAGTCGTCTCTGCATATTTTTATATTTAGTCTTTCGGAGCGACTCAATTAGTTTGGAGGGTGGTCATCCACATGAATGATCCCTTAATGCACTCTGAGTCGAGTCTGTCGCATATGTCCCACTTAGTGTGGTTTACATCCACTGTGTTGTTTGCAGTCTATTATACAGTGGGGAGTGCGCAGATAGTGGCTCACCACAGAGTGCCCACCCAAAGGACAAAGATTGTGGCAGAGGTTGTCACAGTTGCGATTTATCATGGGTGTGGAGGGGGGGCTGGTAGGGGGTGGGGTGATAAAAAAATTTTAAAAAAAAATTAATGAAAAAATCGAAATTTTTTTTTTGGGATGGGGTGTGGGGGGAGGGGCTGATAATTTTTTAAAACAAAAAATTAAAAAATTTTAATGAAAAAATTTAAAATTTTGTTAATTTTTTTTTGGATGGGGTGTGGAGGGGTGGGGTGGTAATTTTTTTAATTTTTCAAATTTTAATGAAAAAATTGAAATTGTTAATTATTTTTTTTGGGATGGGGTGTGGGTGGAGTGGTAATTTTTTTTTTTACATTTTTTTGGGATATTTATTTCAGACTATAAATTTGAAAAATCATTATTTCCTTCTAAAATTTTATATGAATTTAAACTAATTTATATAAATTGAAACGGGTGGATAAATTAGGTAATAACCAAGTCGTAAGTGAGGTGAGAAATTTGTGCTTAAAACTAGTTGACTTTGTTGTCACTACTAGCTACCTTTTCATTTTCATTTTCATCACGCCTTACTAGTCGGGCCGGTGGGTTTCATCTTCTTCTTCTTTCTCTTTCTCTTTACTTTAATGCGAACAAGTCAATCTCAGTCTTGACAATTTTTTATACTTGGTCCCACTTGCCCACCCTTGACGCACCACCTTACGTTATTATTTTATCAAAATCTGCTCTTTGACCACACTTTTTTTTTAGTCTTCATCTCAACCTTTTATATACCTCTTTCCATTTCATCTCTCAAAAAAAAAAGTCTTCACAATCATCTTTTTTTTTCTCTTCAATATTGTTTCATAATTAATTGGTTTCTTATGGATAAAGGATGGGGACTTACACTTGAGAATAAGCCATTTTTCGGGTTTAATCATATGATGAACCGTAGAGAAGAGCAATTAGTAGCTGATCATCATGACAAAAAAGAAGTTGATTTCTTCTCTCATCATAACAGAAAGCCTATACATCATGATTTTATAAAGAAGGAAGATTCGAATGCTACTACTATTACTACGCCATCTGAATTCATCGTAAATGTAAGTAAACCACAGTCATTTAATCTTTGATGAATCTTGTATTTATATTATGGACCCTTCCTTTGCCATATGAACTTCTGAACCCATCGTATGCTCAGTAAAATGTTGTTTCGATGAGTTCAGATGATAAATGGATATATACAAGGGTCCATCAGACCATTTTGCATTAATCTTTGTACTTGACAGCTTGTAAACTAATTAAAATTGTTCCTAATGATCTAATGTATGGCTATATTATATATAGACTGGTTTGCAGCTTGTGACTGCAAGTGATCAATCAACGGTAGATGATGGGATTTCGTCGGAGATAATACTAGAAGAAGAAAGAGCCAAAAATGAGGTAAAGGACTGGACTATAAATTAAATTATGGCTTCAATTCATTTTCTTATTGAATTTATTATATATATATATATATATATATCTAATTTCAGTTTCTCTTAATAATAAAACAGTTAGCACAACTACAAGTTGAATTGAGAAGGATGAACGCCGAAAATCAACGTTTGAGAGGGATGCTTACCCAAGTCACCAACAATTATACGGCACTTCAGATGCATCTTGCTACACTCATGCAACAACAGCAGATTTCAACAACTCAAAATACACATGACCAGATTGTGGAAGCAAAGTTTGATCAAGAAAACATAGTTCCAAGAAGATTCTTGGAATTAGGTCGAAGTGGTAACGATCTATCTCATAATTCCCATTCTTCATCAGAAGAAAGAACAGTTTCTAAATCACCTCGAAACGATACACAAGTTACAAGGCATAATAAGGCCGCCGGCAGAGAAGAAAGCCCAGAATCTGAAAGTTGGGTACCTAACAAGGTCCCCAAATTGAATTCCTCAATGCCAATTGATCAAACAACAGATGCAACCATGAGGAAAACTCGTGTCTCCGTTCGTGCCCGATCAGAAGCTCCCATGGTATATATATCACTTTACTATAAAGAATTTTTACAATATTCCATATGTATGTTATTGGAAACAAAAATTAATGTAATAGTTGCAATATTAATTACAGATTAGTGATGGATGCCAATGGAGAAAATACGGGCAAAAAATGGCGAAAGGCAATCCATGTCCCCGAGCTTATTATCGCTGCACCATGGCTGTTGGTTGCCCCGTGCGCAAACAGGTAACTAGTAATTAATGATGTTCATATATATCAAGCCTGAGATGAAAAATAATGCGATAATTAACTTGGTATACATATATAATCTAAAAAGTTGCATTCTTTGTATTATTCTTAAGGTTCAAAGGTGTGCTGAGGATCGGACAATTTTGAATACAACTTATGAAGGTACACACAACCACCCCCTACCACCAGCAGCGATGGCCATGGCATCAACTACATCAGCTGCAGCAAATATGTTGCTATCAGGTTCGATGTCAAGTGCAGATGAGACGTTAATGAATCCGAATTTCCTAGCAAGGACTATGCTTCCATGTTCGTCAAGTATGGCGACTATTTCAGCATCAGCTCCATTTCCCACTATAACATTGGACCTAACTCAAAACCAAAACTCATTGACTTATAATCAAAGAAGTACTCCAATTTCTCAATTTCAAATTCCTTTCCAATCAAGCCCTCAACATCCGAACTTTATTACATCAATGCCGCCACCACCAATGCCTCAGGTTTTACATAACCAGTCAAAGTTTTCAGGCCTACAAATTTCTCAAGACATTCATCAACCTCAACAATTACAACATGTTCAAAACAACCGATCATTTTCCGACACGCTCACGGCCGCCACTGCTGCCATCACCGCCGATCCCAATTTCACTGCCGCTCTGGCAGCGGCCATCTCGTCCATAATTACTGGTCCTGGAAAAGAACAGTAGTTTTGATATCATCTTTGTAAAATTGTTAATTAAATAATTAGTACTGTAATATTAGTAATTTTCTTCCTTCTTTGATTTACGAGGCTATTTTGGGCTGAAACTTGAGATTGAATATATACATGTTCATATCTTTATTATTTTTTGGTAAAAGGGTTTGAGGAGATGAAGAAGAGTATATATTTTCATTCTTTCATATTTTGTTACCATCAAAATAATATGGTATTGTATAGGTAAAGAAATGAATCTCGAGTTTAACTAACTCCAAAACTAGTTTAAGAGGTTAGGATTTCTAAGTCATATTAAAGAGATTGAGCACCAACATGGGTTGTGGTGCATTGGTGGGAGTGCTTCACCCTTAACCTGTAGGGAGCGCCACCCCCAAATGGGCCCTGCAGTGCGCGATCCGAATTAGTTGAAGCTCCAACGTGGGCTCCAGACACTGAGTGGAAAACCAAAAAAAAAAAAAAAGATTTAGCATCAATTAGGGCGTTCTAAAATCGAACCAAATTCAATATTTCAAATCGAAAAAAAGTTATTAGTTTATATATAATTACTAATGAGTTGTTGGTTTAACGATTTTGATAACAATTTTGATTTTTTTTTATATTGGGTTATCAGTACGTACTTAACGATTTGAGGTTTTCCCTTAATAGGTTAATCAGTAACTCGATAGTAAATTAATCAATTATACTTCTATTTTTCAGTATATAAAGTCCTTGACAACTTAGAATTTAGTTTCATACTTTCAGTTCTGAGTATCTCAAACTCTCGATTATTCTACAAGGTGTCAATATTTCTTTTGAGCAAGATGCAATCTATCAACTCAGGTACATGATTCATTTAAAATGTTACAACATTCAACTTTGAGATCTCTATCAATGATAAATTTGATATTTCATCTATCCAACCACGTAGACGCCCTTAGTCTTTAAATTGGAGCACTCAAATAGGTCATTCAATATTATATCAGTTTTAAATTTCTTGATCGAACGTGTAAGTTGTGACTTTGTGGTCACCGTACTTATTACACCTTATAACAACGTTTACCAACTACCTTATAGTTCCACATGCTTCATGTGATGATTAGCTGCTCGTAAATATTTATTTATATTGGGTGATATAAAGTCATGCAACTTTATTATAAGTAATTTCATAACGTGAAAATATATACTAATAATATTATTTAAATATGATAATGCGGTAAAAGATATGTAAAAATGTATGTCATGTATCTGTTAATTTGATATAAACACTCGAGGGGTATAAAATTCTACTTTTTCCTTTGATTTTCTGTTTTCTTAAAATATCTAAGTATTTATTTCAGTTGAAAATAATTCGCTTATGAATATGAATAAAATTTGGTATAATTATATAGTTTCATCTATTTGTTTGACCCAATTACTGCCTTCGTTTTGTTTGATTCATATTGACTTGATTTTCTTCTTAAAATTTTACTAAATAATATCTTTATTCATTATGCTTTAAAAATCTAAGTTTGAGTAGTACTATTGTATAGTACAGTTATTTAATAATAACTGATAATAGTGTGAAAAATAACAATCTCTGTTAATTTGCTAAAATGGACAAATTAAAAAAAATCTCATTCATATACTAGATAAGTATGAACTAGATTGCTATTTTAAAGTATCCATTATTGACCACAGGAGCCTTAGCAGTGTATATTTATATTATTTCGATCGTGATGCTTTTAATTAGCAGTAATTGATATCCAACGTGTCTATCTAGCAGTTGATGATATATTGAGCATGTCTAACTAGCATAGTTCTTGATATTTAAAATATTTTGATTTAACAGTTGTGATACTTTCTATGAATTTGCATTGTGTAATTACATTTCTCTCGATAAAATATTGGAATAACTATTTCATACTATTGAGAGCTTATCGAGTAAGATGAGTGGTTTTTTTATGACAAGGGAAATCTGCAGCCCTACCAACACACAGGGTAAAAACTCCGTTCCTATGCAATAGCTCACAAACTACATAGGAGAGGTAACCCGCACTAGGCAAGTCCGGTGCGATGAGCTCGATCCAGAAGGCATGCAAACTCCTTGCTTTCGCTTGTAAGGGATTTCAAACTTGAGACCTCCAACATGGAAGTCCCAAGCCCAAACCACTTGGCCACCCCGAAGGGTAAGATGTGAATAATGCATGTGAACTAACGCTATCTCCAGATGTTTTAGTAACTTTATAATAGCTTTAAGTGTCCGATTTGAATCTGACAAAATCTGGTAAATTTTTAGTTTTGTGGAGGATGAAGACTAAGAGCGTAAACTTCTCTGTCAAAAAGGATGGCCCACAAGAGAAGAATAATTCATGCATATTATTGGAAAAAGATTAGGCCCACATCATTGAATGAAAAAGCTCTTAGTCTACACTAATAAATGTGAAAGAAATGAAGTGCAATAACAATGTAATGTCAAATTTATTTCAAGACCAAGTTGCCATTTGTTGGGCCCAATTTTCTTAATTGTTCTTTTGGATAGAGGACCCCATTATTGACTCTAGCCATTTTTGAACTTCTTTGTGTTTTTGGACTAAATCTCATTGTTGAATTTTGCTATAATTAATGGAGGATTCACATTGACTTGTAGTCAATAGGAGGCCATTGCAAGTCTTTGGCATAATTATTTGGATGGTTGGATTGGATAGCCCATTCAATTTGCTATTTATATAGTTATTCAGGGCTATAAACTTTGAACAAAATATCTACTTTATAATAATGTACTAAAAGATTAGAATTGGCTTTGTAGGTTGGTTGCAATTTCTTTTTAGTTTTATATCATTTATACAAGAAATCTTCATTTTTATAATAAGAGATCTAGAAATGTCTTTTTTTTTTTCAATTTATTTTATAAAAGTGGTCAAAAGATCATAATTTCTCAACTTTTTGTTAGAGAGACTTCACATTAACGGTTCTTCGATCCTAATAGCCATAGGAGTTCAAAACGTAAATGACGTCTAAAAACAAAAATTGCAAATTGTTGTGAACTCTCTCCTACTCAGGCTAGTGCTTATCCTGAGATGAATGTTTATGAAGACATTCTTTAATTTAACCAAAAAAAAAAAAAAAAGACATTCTTTAAGGGTTAAATTTCAATTAAAGCATTATAACTACTACTATTACTACTATACTTCACCTAAAAGGCTCGCAAAATACTCGGTAACAAGGCAAGTTGAACTTTTTGTATGTAGTGAATGTTGAACTTTTTTTTTTTATTTCGTTGTGTATTAATTTTTGTATTTTAAAAATTTTAGTGATAAATTCTTTCATATATATATAAATTTTACAAAAATTTACTTATGATAATTTTACAAAAGAGTAGTGAAAAGATAAATTTGACTAAAATAATAAATTCAAGTTAGCCGTTGATTCAAAAAATCCAGAAAAATATGTGTAAGAAGGATAAAAAAAATAGGCCTTCATGAATTTTTTTGATTTTTTTTTTTTAAAAAATTTATAATTGTTTTTTTTTTTTACGGAAAAATGGTATATTTGAGCCATTTGTGTATAAGTGGGAGTATATATGAGTCACTTTTATAACGAGGGATATATCATGTCTAAATGACAAAGTTGAGAATATATTAGACCCTTTTTCCTTAAATTAAAGTACTATATATATCACTAAAGTAGCATCAAGTTTGCAAGATTTTCTAACCTTAGCTTACAGGTTGTCCTATTTTGTATGTTTTGATTTTTATTTTATATCATAGAGACAGTCCAATAATATATGTACCATTTAAGATTTATCATTTTTGCAATATCAAATTTGTGTCAAGTTGTCATGACCTAACCCACCGGGCCGTGTGAGCATCTACTCTAACACCTAGATATATAAGAGAACTCTTCCACCCAATTTAAAAATGGGCAATGTGAAAATTAACTAATTTACTATAGAATTTCTTTAACACTTTAAAACTCATGAAAACATCAATCTTTAAATAAAACTTTTTACATTTGACCGAAAAACCTCTCTTAAGGAACTAGTCTGAACATGTACAAGAGCTACTAAAGAAGTACAGTTTATACAAGAAAATAAGACACAACTCCCACCATAAGGAAAACAAATGAAAGTTGCTGGAGATCATCCTTGTCTAGACCTATGAAACATCACTGACCATACAACTAGACTATGACAAGTGACATAGCAAGAATAGTATTAGTACAAACACGCATACTGGTAGACATCATCGATCGACCTGAACCTACCACATAATATAATATATATAGATAATCATATAAGAAACATGCAATATGAAGGTTCCACCACCCAAGTTTATATCCACTTGTTTCCACTCTTCCAGGTATAATACTCATAGCTAATGCAACTTGATCCCAACCTCCTACCTCATTTCATTGTCAACTCTACCATTAAATATTCAATCGATCTTCTTGCCACTTTAACCTTCCCAAGCCCACTTGTATGCAACCCTCATATCAGATCATAATCTAACCCCTCTATCACGTAGAGATTCCCGAATACAAAACCATCACTAACTCTGTTAACCAACCTACTATCTTGGTCCTTTCATACCAATACTTGTAATTGACACCTTAGATCAACTCGGCCATCTTGACTCAAATCCCCCTCTCAGGTGTGTTCTAACCACCGAACAACCATAACCAGTCCCCTAGTATAACATTGCCTAAACTCTTAGTTTTCACCTTGGATTCATATGCACAATGGCAGATCCAGGATTTTACGGCTATGGGTGCTCACTATTTTTAACATAAACTTGTATCAATCAAAGAGCGTAATTGCGAGCTAAAATTCTTCAACATAGGCGTTATTTTTTTTCAATTCAATGTAATAGACATACGGACTCTTTGGATTGGTTCAAGAAAAAAAGGAGGCAAAACAATATGCCTTCACATACAATAGTAATTACCAAAAAGGCAAACCAGCGAGAAGGAGGACTTTTGCTGTTGAATTGGAGAACTGAAATGAAGGCACTAGAGCAAATTATTTTTTTCCTTACCTTTTCATTTTTCCTAATTATACTAATGAGAAAGAAGGAGTAAATAGACATGGAAGATCATGAATTGTTTATATTTGGGAGACTAAGTTGCACAA